AAGAAACTATTTAAAAAAGTAACAGGGATGGTGCAAAGAGAAAAGAAGGAAGGAAAAAGAAAAATTATACATATATATACACACACAAGATAGTTGAGATAGTTATACTACCAATTTCTCTTAGTACATTGAAAAGAAAGGTTTGTGCTAATATTGTTTGGACAATTAAATGCCAATATCTTTTACTCTGAGTAGTTAATTTAAGATAACAATATGACATGCATTAACCATTGTTACCCTCCTATTTTCTTGTTTTGAAATTTTATTTTTTTCTCTTTAAAATAAAAAAATTAAACAATAGAATCCATAAACTCTGAGATGATTAGGAAATGCCTTAGCATGCTGGGTTTTTTTGTTTATGATGTGTAAAAAATAATGATTGAGGAAAAGTTTCCCTTCTGATACACAATAGGGTAAAAAGATTTCTGTAATTTCTAGAAAGCTATTCTCTGAGATGAGATGAGCTTTTCACGTCCTTTTGCCCTTGCCAGTGGTATCTTTGGACTTCATAACAATAATATTACCCTCCTTATCATAAATCAATTGTATTTGGCTTTTATGAGCTCTGCTGAGAGCTTTACAACTGGGAGAAAGGTAACCTGACTCACTCTTGGCGGTTTAAGGCAGGCCTGCTGGAACAGTCAGTGACAGGACCCAAGGTAACCATGATGTTCAGGGGACTGGGGATGCGAGGGGCTTCACGTGTCTACATCAAGGAACACACTGTAAGAAATGGAATGAAACCACAGATAGGCTCAATGTGATCAAAATATATGGTGAATGTTTAATATTTTAAAATTTTACTACAATGAAAGACACACTGTCATTAATTCTCCTCAAAATACTCACCCTCATTTTGAACACATCCCATCAGTCTTTCCACTTTCTGAAGTAATTATGGAAGTCTTCTTTTGTGAAGGTCTTTAGCTGCACTACTGTGGCTTCTTACTGTCCTGGACTGAGTCAAAACATTTACCCTCTAGAGTCATTTTGACTTTGGGAAGAGTCAGAAGTCACGTGATGCCAAGTCCAGGGAACAAGATGAATGAGGACACGCGGCAATGTACTTTGAAGACTGCATTTTCATTAGATGGCAGTCGGCAGCCGCATGCACTATATTGTTGATCATGAGTCCTAAAGACACAAAAGAGGGCTCCCACCACTGCTTCAGCAAGTGGCAAGAATGACGGGATAAGTGTGTCCAAAGCAAGAGGGAGTATTTGAGGGGAGACTAGTGGCAGTGCTTTGTACTGTAATAAATTCGTTAAAGTTAAATATCCGCCATGTATTTTGTTCACCTCTTACAAGGAGTAATTTCATAAGCCATACTGAGGAATGTGGTTTGTACTTCCCTTAGAGAAATAGGAATCAGCAGGAGTCTCTGCTGATTGTCATTTCTTCTGAGATCACTCAGTGGGTGATGAACAGCAGAGACAGAGAGACGGAGGTGACTGCATAGCCTCTCGGATCATTCACCGTTCATACTGACTCATGAATTTAGAAGCCCAAAGATGGTGGGTCCAATTCATTTTTTCTAGATTAGAAAAACAGGTGTATCTGGTCACTGACTTAGAAATTTGGTGTAATGAGCAGAACACGTGTTTTAGAAACAAATGACTAGAGTTTCCACACCATAATAGTAATAATTATTACTATGTAAGACATTGGTCAGGTTATTCAATCCCTCTTAGCCTCAATTTCCTCACCTATAAAATGAAGTTATGTGCAAATTACATAAAGTACCTACCTGAACAACTGATAAACATCAAATACTCAATAAACCTTAGTTTCTCTCCTCACTCTTTGAAAAAGGAAATCCAGAAGAAATACCAGTGTCTTAGGAGCATCCCAGGTCTCAAACTATTTTCCTACTTTGTAAAGAAAATTCATGTCTTTCTGGTGTTTATCAGAAAGTCACTTAAAACTCTTTCTGTGTTTTGTGATTTAAACTGGTGACTGGAGTTGCCTTGGACTTGACTGCTAAAGACACATCGGGCAGTAGCACCCTCTGAGAATACATGTTAACTCTCTGATATCACAGCCATAGAAATAAAAGTGTGTAGCTCGAGCAGGAAGGTGAGGAACAAGAAACTAGCTGGCTTCTTCCCATGATTCGTCTAGCAAAGACAACCACATCCTTTGTCTATGGCCACTTTACCCTTCTCATTGAGGGTTTTTGGTTTTTCTTTTGTTTTGTTTTGGTTTTGTACTGGGAGTCAGTCGAACTCAGCACCTTGCGCTTGGCCCTTGTGCTGCAGAGCTATATCCCCACCCTATGGTTCTCAGAAGAAATGGAAAAGAATTGGTGAAAGCAAATAATGCTTGGACTCACACAAACCCGCCAAGTGAACGAACATCTTCAATTTGTGACCTGCCATTTATCAGTGGCTATGACCTAATTAAAGTCAATTTGAAAGCCCTGTTCTCTCTGCAGAGCAGTGTCATTAACATTTTTTAATGCCATGGCCAATTTTTAATATAGTTTCCTTTCTCCAGCTCTCTAACTCTGCAGTTCCCCAATTTTTATCACTTACTTGGAGTTCATCTAGCAAAGGTTATTTAGAACCTTTAAACCAGTACAACTTTTTCCTTATAGACCTTTGATACTGACGGCAAGTGCAGACTTAGCGCTTTATTTCGTGCTATAATCATACCATAATACTTAGAATCCTGCAGTTTGGGCAAGTGAGTAGATTAAGCGTGCGTGCATGTGGCTGCAGATGCTATGGAAGAAAAGCTTTTCTCTCTTCTACCTTCCCCTCCTGCCGCCTGGCCTCTCCTCTCTCCTCTTGTCTCTTCCTCTCTCCCCTTCTCCCTTCCTCCCTCCCTCAGCTCTGTAGTCATAAACTTTTCTACTTCCCACCAACACCAGGTTGATGGTTCCCCAACGATTATCTTTGGCAAAAGATGGTGAAACAGAAGACATTTTAGCCAATTTTAATAAAGCTAAAGTTACCAATGTAAAGCATTTCCCACTACTGTTTTACAACCTTTCTTTTCCACTTCTGTGTGTGTTCTGGTGTGTTTGTCTTCCTGCATAAAATAATAGAGCTAGGATAAAGTAGTTTCCTTTTGGGGAGTATTAGGAATTGAACCCAAGGCCTCACCTATGTTAGGCAAGCACTCTACCACTAAACTATACTCCTAGCATTTAAAAATGTTTTTATTTTGACACAGTATCTCATGAACTAGCCCAGGCTGACCTAAGTCTTAAAATCCTCCTGTCTCAGCCTGCCAAGTAGCTGGGACTATAAGTTCATGACACTATGCCCAGTGAGAATTTCCTTTTTAATGTGCTTACTTCATAAAATAAAGAGAGGGCAACTAATTGAAAGAGTGGCTGCCCCATGGACACACTCAGCATTTTTAAATGTGATTCTGTTCTCCATGGACTTTTTCAAACCCCTCAGATACATTTTTTTCTGACTGTGAATGAAGTCTTGGCCAGCTTTTATAGCTTATCTGCTAAAGCTTAGTCAATGAGATGTTCTCTGGTCACACTCAGTCACAATAGCAGCCTCCTTTCAGGAAGTAACCTTTTAAGACTAGTTAATAAGCAAGACTGTGTGCTTCACACTAACATTTTCCCTCCCTCCCCCGGCTGAGGCCTGCTCTAGTCTAGAAGTCTGTAGTGGAGGGAGAGATACAGTGATCCTCTCTTTTTACCTTTCAGCCACCTTCCACATCTCCACCCTCAATATGAAGTGAACTGGGGCTTCAAATGCTACCCAGTTTGGAGAGGGAGAAAAAAACAAAGGAATGGTTCAATTAATGGCACAGCTAACATACGGCTTTTGGGCTCCCCGCACATCGCAGATGTTATATGAGAGTTTTTATGTTATCCAGCTACATTTCTACCTTTTGAATTCATACTCAATAACCTGTCACCATTCAAAACTGAAAGAAAATCCTCGGAAGTACCTATTGTGTCATGCACTCTGCCAGGGATTAGGATATTTATACAAGCTGCCGGCAAGCCTAAGTGCAATGCAAAAGTACCTGTTAGAAAATTTTCAGACAAGCCCCACGTGTCTTCCATCATATGTGGAGGCCACAGCAATTGAGCTGAATGTAGAATAACTAAAGGCTGGGGAGGAGAGAGTGGGTGGTAGATAAAGCAAGGCTGGATTTGATTAAGCATGTTGTATGGATATCACACTGAACCTACTAATATATACAGTTAATGTAGGTTAGTCAAAAATATAAAATTAAAAAGAATGAAAGTACTAATAGGTAAATATTATAAACATTATGTTCAGTGAAAGAATTCAAACATAAAAGGCTACCTACTATATTATTCTCTTTGTATGAAATATGCAGAATACATATATCCATAGGGACAGAAATGAAAAGTCACTGCTTCATTTTTGTGGCGTTTCTTTTGGAATGATGAACCATTCGGGAGTAAGACAGCTGTGACAGTTGTATAATACTGTGAATAAATGTAAAAGCATATGTTGGGCTGGGGATGCCGAATCTCACGTTAACTTTATCTAAGAAAAATAATTTAGAAAATAAATGAAAATAAAATTTCAGTCTCAATAATCATATCAAATTTAGCCTTTCAACTGTATTTATCATAAAGTCTAACTTTCCAAGGCAATTGATAACCATAAAAAAGAGATAGGTCATGACAATCTCATTCCCAGATGTTATTTGATATATGCTGAAAATTATAGTAGCTCCAATTTGGTGTACACTTTGAACTTATAGGAAGAAAAACTATCTTCAGATAGTTCTAATTCTTGAAGTAAATATATCCACAAACTGTAGTTTAAGACAGAGTAGATATGCTTCTCAAGTTTTAGTTCAGTTGAATTTCAGAAGGTATAAAAGTTATGCAAAGAGAAACTAAAGTAATTTAGCATGGAGGGGTTTGGTGATCTCTTGAACTTTGAACTTCCACATCACAGTATGAAATAGGTTCTAAGATAAGAAGTAGAATAAATTCCCTCCCAGAATCAGGACTGCAGTGCTCCTTTCCTTGAGCCCGCCTCAACTGCAATCATGACATTTAATGGTAGTTGGAAAGTGGACCGAAGTGAGAACTATGACAAGTTCATGGAAAAAATGGGTAAGGATTTCATTTTCTCTTTCAGACATTTTTCTGACTTAGGGAATGTAATTTCTCATAAACTTATTTTGGCTCAAGGAATTTTCTGGCTTCTGATGTAGTGAGGCTCCAGAAGCATGAGGGGAATCCCTTTTTGCATTAGCTAGAATACATTATCTGACAGGGAAGGAAAGATTCTGTGAGTACCATCCTCTTAAACACACACACAAATCTAAATGTATTTCTTTCACTCTTTAGCTGTGGATTATACCCCTATCATTGAAAACTGATGTTTTTATTTTATTTGCTCAGAGTAAGAACATGGCAGAGTAATGATAATTTCCAGATTCTAACCTGTAGAATTCCAGGAGATAGAAAAGCAAGAATCATAAAATAAAGTAATGAAAAGGTATTCTATACAGATTCACTGCTTTATACAGATTACATTTAATTCTATTTCCCCATGACTTATAAAAGTTTAGGAATAAACTCTAGAAGCTATATATTTTCTTTGGGGAGTTTAACTGTTTTATGAGTTTATAACAATACTCTGGCAGCCTATACACAGTACAAGGACAAACAAATTAGTGTCATTCTTCCTAAATAAAACTCTGCATCAATTTAATCTTACAGTTTAAGGATCCCAAGGTTAAATTCATGGAATTTGTACATTCATATACAAGTGAATTTGACCATAAAATATATTTTCCTATTTTTTGTGTCAGCCAGAGATGCCACAAAGAGCAGAGAGAATCATGAAGTTCAAAATTTAAAAGCAGGGCTAGAGCTATAGCTCACAATGCAATACCTACCTAGCATGTGCAAGGCCCTGGATTCAATCTTCAGCACTGAAAAGACAGGTTTTTGTTTTGTTTTGTTTTGTTTTGTTGTACTGGGAATCGAACTCATGACCTTGTGCTTGCCAGGCAGGTACTTGTGCCACTGAGCTGTATCCCCGGCATGGAAAAATAAAGAACAACTTTAAAGTAATTATGGAATGCGAGGTGATGTTTTAAAAATTTAAAGTTGTGTTTCTTTATAAATATATGAATATATCTTATGATATTCCTGGAATTTGATTTATGTAATACTGAAAGTTTATTAATCTTATTCAAAACATTCAGCTCTGAGGTCCTACAATTCTGTGCTTAATTTAACTTTTCTTATGCTTGGAAAAAGCACTTGAACCTCTTGAACTGACTGAGCTTGAACTTTTTCTACAAAAATACTATTAATGCTGTTGTGCCTCGGTGATGCCTTCAGGGCTTTTCTTTTTCCCACCCTCAAAATAAAAATAAATAAATAAAACAGAACTTAGGAAAACCAACATTTGCTAGGGCATTTTGATTTTATTTTCTCCAATTTCTTTCCTTTTGCAGGCATTAACATGGTGAAAAGGAAGCTTGCAGCTCATGACAATTTGAAACTGACAATCACACAAGAAGGAAATAAATTCACAGTCAAAGAATCAAGCACTTTTCGAAGTATTGAAATTGTTTTTGAACTTGGCGTCACCTTTAAGTACAGCTTAGCAGATGGAACTGAACTCACTGTATGAAGTTTTGCTTTGTTTTTTGATAAGCAATGCATTCTTAACTTTTCTGTCCAATAGTAAAATAATCTCTGCTTTACCTCATTGGGTGGTTTGATTAATGTATGTCTTCTTCATCTATTGAAGGAGCTGGCAAAGTCTGCGCACATTTTATATTGCCAGGATTTTGAAATAAAATATTTTATTCTTCACACATACTTGCAAAGAATCTGGATTAAAAACATAGGAGTTGTGGGCCGGGGATATAGCTCAGCACCACAAGCGCCTGCCTGGCAAGTGCAAGGTCTTGAGTTCGATTCCCGGTACCCACAAAAAAAAAAAAAAAATAGGAGTTGAAAAATATTCTTCGAATGATTACATATAGAGCTATTTGTCAAGAAATTCAAAGCTTATCGTTTTCAACTTTACATACTTAGCAGGGACAAAGGCTTGTAGAGTTACATAATTTAAACATAATAGCTATTGAATAAATGTATTAAAATAATAAAATAATTTAATAAATGTGTAACCAAATGGAAATATCTAATACTACACTGTAATTCATTGAGAATGTACCCTTTCATGTTTAAGGTAAAAGAGCTTTTAGGAACTCATCATTTTCAATCAATTTCTAAAACTTTTCTTAACCTCAGAGTTTTTCTACTTCTACATGTTTGCAATGACAATTTAACCATTTAATGTTTTATCAATTGTGTCATTCACTGCCTTCAGCATACAAAAATTCTGAATGGAGGTAAGCATAACGGTTAATGACACATATACTCTAGAGTCCAATAGCATATGTTCAGTCCCAGCTGTGTGACTTTGGAGAATGACTCTGTGTACAGTTTCCTCAGCTGTGAGGTGGAGATAGTAGTATGCATTTTGCAGAGTTTCTATGAATGCTAAATGAACAAGTAGTTCTACAGAACTCAAAACAGTGCCTGACACTTGTAAGACCCTAATAAATGCCCTATTGTTAGTTATCATTATTATTTTTTTTTATCATTATTATTTAGGGGAGCTGGAACCTTGAAGGAGATAAACTCATTGGAAAATTCACACGGGTAGACAATGGAAAGGAATTGATTACTCTCCGAGAAATTATAAGTAACGAACTAGTCCAGGTGAGTTATACAAAAAGATTTATAACCTTTTCCAAAGACAAAAAATGATTATATAACAATAAATTGGAGTTATGTCTTTAATAAATAGATTTACTTCTTTTCTTATAAATCAAAAATTTTAAAGTAGAGATATTTTCTGATTGTCTACTAAAAATATCTACATATCTATAGATTTTTTTATAACTAATGCATCAATGCCTATTTTAATTGCAAATGTGAGTAATAACTACAGCCAAAGTATGTTTTATTAGGTGGATCCTATATCTGCATAAAATATTGCAATCAAGTACAAGAAAAATTATATGCACTCATTCAATGCTATGAAATACTAATTATTTTTCCTAATTTAGTCTTATTTCTTAATGGTAAATTCTTTTATGTTTAACACCTTTTAGACTTACACATATGAAGGAGTTGAAGCCAAAAGGATCTTTAAAAAGGAATAAGCATGATTCTTGGAGCACAGCCCAAAACATAAACTGGATGGAAGATCAATATTGCACAAAAACTGTTTTTCGCCGCACTTCAAGTATAAGGTTATTGACCAATTAGTCTTTTTATAGACATTGGTATATTTCCAGTCTTGCCAAAGCAAAAGAAGTAAAAGATAATTAGGATTTAATCTGTTTTATATTCTGTAAAATATACATTTACTGGTGTTTGAAAAGAATTTGAAACTTTTTTTAAAACAAAAAAAATAAAGATTGTTCCCACATTGACTTATAAGTAGCCTCTCCTTAAAAAAATAACTATGTGACATATGATTTGATAGGATGTTTTCATTTTTGTTTCTACATTTAGTAAATTAAAAATATAGGCTAACGGGTATCTTTAAAATTTTGTACTCATTATGAATAATTTCCTTGGAAACATTTATTATTATAAAATTAACATATACTACATCAGAAAATTTAGAAATAAGAAAAGCAAATATAAAACAAATATTTCCATAAACCGCTAATCTAGAAAAAGCTGTATTGTGTTTTTTGACACTGTTAGTGATTTCTAGACCTAGCTGGAAATCAAGATTACCTGAAAAATAACAACAAATCTTGCATTCCAAATCTCTACTGCCAACCCGCTAGGTCAGAAGCTCTGAAAAGAGGACTAGGAATTTCAGAAGACTCCCTGGTGATTCTGATGCAGCCTGTGCACCAATCAGTCTTTGAGAAGGAACCGTAGGACTATCAGACACCAAAATGCTATAACAAAAAAGTGTGTGTGTGTGCGTGTGTGTGGCACTGGGGATTGAACACAGGTTTTGAACATGCTAGGCAAGCACTCTGCTACTTACATGGCCAGGCCCTGAGATGTTACTCTACTGTCACTGCCACCCTCCACTTTTTTGCTTTTTTTTTTTCTTTTGCACAAGCACATACTCTGCCAAATTTGCCAGGACCCAAAAGGTTTCCTTTCACTCATACTCTCATACAATCTACTATTTTATGTGCTTTAAGCAGTTGTATTTTAGCAGGGTATATATTATGGGGTAAAGAACTAAGCATTTCCAAATCTATGGACCTTTGCTTTAACAGATTGTTTCTCATACTAATACAGGTAACAACTGACATTTTCATTGTTCTTGCTGTGTCCTACACATTATTCTAAGCGCTGTCACATATGATAGATACCTTACAATGTTGGAAAGTATTTGCGCACACAATGGAAATGAGTAAGTTAGAGAATATATAATCTTTTAGAAAAACAAAAACAAATCTATTGTTTTATAACTTCATACTCATCTTCACATAAAAAATATTATTTAGGTTTTCACATGCTACTTTTCATAAATGTTCAAAGTACTTTTACTTTTTTGCATGTCACCAGGTCATTTCTATGATTTTTTTATTAGTACATGTTTGCCATACAGAATGTATACATTCCTTGCATAGAGCTGGAATTAATTTCTCTTTTTGTTCCTTTTTCCTCTCCTTCCCTCCCTTCTCCCTCCATCTCTTGATCCCCTTTCCATGTGAGAAAGTCCCTACTTCTAATTATTTTTCATTTTGCTCCTTATTTATAATTTGTGCTTCCCATATAAGAAAAACAAAAACAAAAAAAATAAGAAAAACTATGCGATATTTAAGCTTGTGTGTCTGATTTATTTCACTTAACATTATGGCCTAAAGGTGCATATTTTCTAATCTCACTTGTCTACACATGTAAAAGAGGACAAGGGCAGGTATCACCTTCTTTGAAAGCTGAGACTAAGGCACAAAGAAGTTTATTGCCTTGTCTAATGTTGCATAGAGTCCATGATAAACACAACAACAATATGTAAGTCTTAACTTTCAGCCTAGTATATTATGATTTATGCTATTACTTGGCCTGTAGTAAACAAAAAATAGCTTTAGGAAAAAATTCCCTTAAGTCCTTAGTGGTACCCAAGAATAATACTCCAAATGAATCCAGTCAAACTATAAAATAATGGCAATTCAGTGTTTAGACAATTTTCTATTCTGGCCTCACCATGAGCTTTCTTTTTCATAATTTGTGTCCTTTCTGGTATTAAATCTCCACTATTTGTTAGTACTGGAGAGTGACCTATTACTTGCTAAGTGATGGCCGTTTCCATAATCTCTCTCCTGGACAGATGACTTTGTCCTTACCACACTGTGCCTGATCCCAGAACAGCCAGTCTCTCACAATTTGCCAGCTTACAAGCCCTGTGCAAAGGAATAAGCGCTACTAACTGAACCCAAAGAGCCTCTTTGAAGAGAGTTTGAATTTGAAAAATGCAGAGTGAGTAGTTGGTAGAAAGGAAAAGAGTTTAAGGAGGACAAAAAGGACAGACAGTAGCAGAAGTGATGAGTATATGAAACTATGAAAACACAGAAGCCATAAGGAAAATAGCAGAATAGCAATTAGAAGCAACTGCAGCAGTAGAAGCTGAATGACTTATATGTGAAACGTGGTGTCTGGGATTTGCTTCAGCTTGCTAGTCCCCCGATCTTAGGTTGGGAAAAGTGCAAAGGGCTATACATGGAACACAGCTGGTCACAAGTTGACAACTGTCACAAGTTTGCAACTGTTACAATTGTTGAAATGTGCCAGACACATGACAACAGTTGATAGGTTCATGGGTACCAGTAAAAACATGGGAATTCATTGTAGTCTTCTCCCTACCTTTATATGTGTTCGATATTTTTCATAACAAAGAGGTAATATTCATTATTTATACACACGTCACTCTACAACCTAAATACTTCTCATTGTTTCCACTGCTATCATAGTCTGAGCCAGGATTCTCTTCACTGCATTACTACAAATAGTCCCCAACTTCTACCTTCCCTGCCCTGCCGTCATGGAGCCTTTTTCAATACAGCAGCCAGAAAGAGTCCTTAGAAAATCATTCCCGTGCCCCAAATGCTACAATGGCTCTTTTTTCATGCAGAAAAAAGTCAAGTGGTGCTGTTTGGAACGGAGTACCTGGGGGAAGAGCATCATAAGTGGAGACAACCTGCAGCAAGGCGCTAAGACGGGTGCAAGCCTGGCAAACTTGAAGAACATGAATAGCCTAGAATGAGTCCCCAGGATCATTCACAGATGACCAAAAACAAGACCAGAGTTCAAGAAAAACCAGTTAGCTCAGACTTGTAGAATCCACAAAGGATACTATGTAAAGGTAATGAGTTTTGGAATTGCAGACCTCCTTAAACCCATCTTTCCACTCTATTAATCAAAATTCAAGTTCTGGTTCTTAATTTTCTTACTTGAAAAAAGGGAAAATAGTAATACTTTTCTACTTCTTCAATTTGTTAATTGAAGTCTTATACATAAAACATCTAGCATATATAAGTAATGCAAACATGTGCCCTTTTTTTGTAGAGAAAACAGAACAAAATATGTCTTAAGTAGATAGGAAAAGTTTTTTCTTAAAATATGCCCCACTGAAGGAATGTAAATTAGTACAGCCACTATGGAAAACCGTTTAAAGTTTCCTTAAAACCTAAAATAGAATTACTATATGATGCTGCAGTACCACTCCTAAGTGGATACCTGAAGGAATCAAAGTCAACATACTGTAGAGATACCTGGACACCCAATTTTTTTTATAGCACCAGTCACAATAGCTGATATGGAATCAGCCTCAGTGTCCATCAACAGATGGAGAGATATTCGGCCATAGCAAACAAAATCATGCAGTTTTTTGTTTTTTGTTTTTTGTTTTTTTTTTTCAGGAAAATGGACGGAACTGGAGATCCACCTTCCACCACAACCCTGCTCACCCTTCGTTTTCAATCACTTCTCAATTAAGTGAAACAAGCCAGACTCAGAAAGACAAGAATCATGTGTTTCCTCTATATGTGAAACCCCCCCCCCCGGGGGAGGGGGGGCGCGTGAAAGAAGAAGGAGGTCATTAAGGAAGGACAAGGGGACTGGGCGGTGGCGAAAGGGGCAAGAGTGTAGTAGGGAGGGTGGATACTATAAAAGCACATTAAATACATGTATGTAAGTGTCACAACGAAACCTATTCATCTGTATGAATAACAAGCAGACATTAAATTTTAAAATCTCTGTCCAAGCCTGTGTGACGGAGTGAGCCTCGGCCCGGTATGGACCAGCCTATGGCATCGCTAGATGGGGGCTTGGGGGAGCCACTTCACCTCTTCCGAATTAGTTTAGTCATCTTCAGAACGAGGAAACTGGGCCAGATCTCTAAATTTCCTTCCAATGCTAAGATTCTATGATGCATGGAAAACATTCAGGGATTCTTCTTTTCCCAAGCAGCTCTTTCGGGGTGGGTCACAGGGGAGAGGGCCCTGGAACGATGGAGGCTGGTGTGCGGAGAAGGAAAGTGCACTAACGCTAAGTACGAGTGGTTTCTTGGATGAACAACTCTTGCAGGATAATGCGCTGCTCTTACTTGCTCAAATTCTCCGTAACTTGGAACAAAGACTCCTGCATTTTCATTTCACACTGGCCCAGCAAATGACTTCCTCAGTCCTACCCTAGGAGCTATTAATAACATAAAAGCTATTTTCTTACGAGTAGCTACGGAGACCTGGACACCTGAAGGGACGTGAACAAGTTGGGAAGATAGGTTTTTTGGCGTAGAGTGGAAGTGAGAAGTTCTGTGGAGATGAAAGGGAGCGAGGGAGTAGATGGATATATTAAACAATTACGAAGTGTTCCTTTACCTTCTGCTCGTTTGCTTTCTTTAAACTGTAATGTACGAGTGCCACCTGCTGGACAAGCATATGAATTCTTTCAAATGTTTCCACTGCAGTTTCAGTTTCTAGAGAATGTTCCCTACAGGTCCAGCGCACCATATTTTGCAGTTTGAAACGGCAATTGTTAAATGTCTAACTCTAAATTCCATAGAGAAAACTAACACAGAGAATTTTTTCTTTCCTCCTGAACCAATCCTGTAATGTTGCTTTCGTTTACTAAATCAACTTATTTAAAAAAAAAAAAATTATATGTCAGGCATCAAATATTCAATACTCAATTCGACTGGGAAAGATATTTTGGTCATTAAGAACTTTCCCAAATAGGTCAAAATTCTTAGGACCACTTTGAGTCTGAATTGGAATAACATCATCATCTTTAAAACTGGGTGGTCATCAGGGCACAGTACTTTGATTCCATGGGTGCTGATACACAGGGTGGTGCACATCTATGGTTTGTCCTTCAGGCCTGATGACCAACCCCCAGGCTGTTGGTGGAACAAGTATATACTGGAGAACTGATTGGAAACAAAGAGTAAGCAAAGCGGTGGTAGGACAGGGAAACCATCAGGAGATGTAGAGTCAATTAATAGCCATGAAAAAGGGTAGGGCTTCTCCCATCTCTATCTAACCCCCTTGAGGATTCCACTGGAATGAAAGGGCACAAGCAGACCTATCTGTCATGGAGTCTGGATTACCAAAAATAAAAGAGGGAATTTAAGTGCATGCTTATTCAGTAGTCCATGGTTAGGACTGCTGTAAAGGTGAAAGAGTAGCAAAAGTCTGAAGCAATTTGAGCAGTTTTTCCCTGGGTCTCAGCCTAGTTTCAAGGCCACATTCTTGAGATTGCAGGTGACATAGCTGGTTCTTTTCAAACCTTTCTGGCACATGCACTACCCTCTGAGGAAATATCTGAGCAGTATTCTGGAGGGCAGGGAGAGAGAGAGATGATTGAGATGTGATAAAATATGTACCAGTTCTCCAAGATGAATCATTATGTTTCACAGACATATTCTAAAAACCCAAAGAGCAGCTCTCTTTTTTAAACTTTAAAAATCAGGTGAAGGAGTATATGGTTGATATCAGTTTTTAATTTTAACTTTTTCACAAAATAAGTTTTTAATAAGGATATTGAAGGGCATAGATGTGACCCAGAACTTTCTGTATTTAACATGTCATTAGAAAAAAAAAATGTCAGTGAGGATGAAGTTTGCTTAACAGGCCAATTCAGATTGTTTGTCCTGCATATTCCATAGCCCAGTGTGTGCACCTCTATCAAACCATTAATGGCTGTCAAGCCACTCTTCTGTGCTTGCTGTGTAACCTTGTTTATGTGCTCCAAGCGCGAGGTTAGTGTTATATCTGCGTCCCCCATGGCAACCCTCTAACAAACATTAAACATTAGTATCTACAGTTAAATGAATAGACAACTGAGCATGCTGGAGAGTCCCAGTATTAGAAAGGTGACCTCCCCTATCCTATATTGTGAGAATTTCTTATACCCAGAAGTTCTATAAGGGACTCAGTCCTACTTGTTTATACAGAGAACCTTAATCTGAACCAAATCATCCTAGCCATACCTAATTAAGCATCATCCATGGGCAAGTAATTTCTATACCTGAGAATAGTTTATGATATGAGAACTTTGTCCAAGACTAATGATTCTAATTAATTATAACCAGATAGGGTATGAATTTGATTTCAATACACAGAAAAAAAGTTGTTACCTAGTAACCATGGGCAAAAGTTGAAAGACGTGGATAGAAAAGCAGACAACAAAAACCATGAAGCAAAAGTGGTCATGCTGAGTGCTGGTTGTTACATAAACAGTAATGACCAAAAACAAAACAAAACAAACAGCCAGCCTGAATTTAGGGTTCTGGGCAGGATCTCTGAAGTAACTCCAGAGGAGAGTCCTAGTCCAGTTCATTGAGCTGCATCTTTTATGGGTAGGTTAGTGGGATGGGCTTAGGTGGAGTGGAGTAAAGGGGGGTGGGCATGAAACTGGGGGAGCTAGAATGGCTGAGTATGTGCCCACAGCAATGGCTAATGTCCTAGGCTCAGGCAACTAGGAATCATCCATTGCAGAGATGTGGGCACCCAGGGCAGGAGATGTCAGAAGGGGATCAGACCTATCAAGCAAAAACCAGATAGAAGAAAAGAGAAATGAGATCATATGTTTTTCAGTGTAAATACAATAAATTCTTGTTTCTAGTATGTAAAAGTCTATCTTTTTACTAAAGCTCTCTTGGATCCTGAGTGGCTGACAATATATATATTCCTTTAATCAAATATGAATTGAGTATCTGCCTTGTGCCAGATATGACATGATTTATAGTGGTGAATAAGGCAAATCCATTTTGGTCCCATGAAGTTTCAAATCTATCTTAGAAGTTTTAGAAATGCAGAGGTACAAAATTTACAATGGACAAGTATGAATAATTGTAATATTATACAAGAGTAGTATAAGCCATCATAGAATTAGATTTTGTTATATAACTATAAATTTTTACCCATAGTTTAATGCAGCAAATTATCATACATAAAACTTTGTCATTTTATAGACAGTAGTTGATACTATTGGTATTACTGATTATATCACTTTTGCCAAGGTGACAAGGTGACATCAAGTTGCTATGATCAGTTATTCTTACTTGTATACCAATACTGAGATTGTCTTGGGGGTCATAAACAACACCACAGTCTAGCATCAAAGACTAAGGGGCTAGGCCAAACAGGCAGAAACTTCACATCCCTAATAAATTGAAGAGGCAGGATCTTGGCACAGACTCAAAAGCCAAAAGCCAGCTATACCTAAAGAACATCTCTGAAAAGTAGTTATTTCCTAAAGAGGGTTCAGTACTAGCAACAAAGCTACATATCATAAGAAATTTACAAACATTAATCCAAAAAACAAATTTTAAAAATAGAAAATGAGAAGATATGGAAGAAAGACTCAGCCCCAGACCTCCAGCTCACCCAAGGCAAATACAAAGGGCATTGAGGTAGAAGATATCAAAAGCTACCCCGCTGAAATTTCCAAAATGGCAGCAGCAGAAGTAACAAAGCAGATTAACAAGGCTCTAGAAAGAAAACAAAATGGAAAGAATTTCACAGGTAACTAAAGAGATGATGACCATAATGAAAGACATAGCTAGTGAATCGATAGTATATACAGATTTTTAAAAAATAGAGGAGCTTAGGAAAGTGACGGAAATCATGAATGCCCAACATAAGAAAGAACTGGATTCTATGAAACAGATTCAAACAGATATCAGGAGATTAAAAATTCTACTGAAAGTACATGCAACACAATCAACCAATGTGAGAACAGCATATCAGATCTAGAAGACAAGTTTGCAGTTAGAAATTATCAAATGAAAGACTTCTTTAAAAAGCAAGGGATCACAAGAAATCAATCCAGCAGCTGCTAGATGATACAAAGAAGAATAACATAAAATTGATAGGAATCAATGAAAAATTAAAAGATAGCACAAAGGGCATAAAAAACTTGTTCACAGAAGTAATGGCAGAAAACTTCCCAAGCATTGAAAAAGAATTTGACATCCAGATATATGTGAGGCATACAGAACTCCAATTAGCCATGATCAGAAAAAACTACACCAAGGCATATAATAGTCAAAATTTAACACAAGAAAAATTTAACACAAGAACAGAATATTAAAAGCTTATAGAGAAAAGAAACAAGTCACTTATTAAGAAAAGACCATCAAAATCACAGCAGACTTCTCAACACAAACCCTTAAGTCAAGAAGTTTGGAGTAAAGAATTTCAAGCCCTGAACTAAACAACCTGCAACCCAGACTGATACACTTCATAAAATAATCATTCAAAATTGATGGAGAAATAAGATGCTTCCATGACAAAGAATACCTGAAAAAATTTAAAACTACTGAATCAGCACTGAAGAAATTCATGACCACTGAACCAGCTCTGAAGGACATTCTAGAAAAAGACCATAAAAAACAACAATCCCATGAATCCCAGTAGAATGACTCCACCAAACAAAGTAAACAATTAGACAGAGGTGAAAGAAATGGAACCAACAACAGGAAAATAATATGACAAGGGTGAGCCAATGCAAATCAGTTATGACTATCAAGGAGAATGGTCTCAAATCACGAATCAGAAGAAACAGACTGGCAGAATGTATCACACAACAAGATGCAACAATATGCTGTATACAAGAAACACATTTAACTCAAAAAGAAATGTATAGAATGAAAGTCAAAGGATGGAAAACAATACTGCATATAACAGGAACACAGAAAAAAGCAGGGGTAGGTATTCTATTTGCAGACAAAGTAGATTTCAAGCCAAGACTTATCAAGAGAGACAAAGAAGGTCACTACATATTTGTTAAGGGAACAATCCCATAGAAAGAGGTAACAATCATAAATATATAGGTACAAATATCTATACACCCAACTACATAAAACAAACATCAATGGACATGAAAAATCAAATAAGCACTAATACAATTGTAATGAGGAAACCTCAATACCCCACTATCCCAAGTAGATCAACTAGGCAAAAACAACAACAAAGAAATATCAAACATTTGAAAATACTGACTTACTAGATATTCATAGAGTTATTTCACACATCAGAAACACATGCTTCTCAGCTGCACAGATGTCTTTCTACAAAATAGACCACATATTCACCCACAGAATATGCTTAAGTAAATGCAAAGAAATTCAATTTATCCTATGCATATTATTAGATTTAGTGCAATAAAACTGGAAATCAATGGCCAAAGAACCCACAAAAACAGCATAAATACATGGAAATTAGATAACACCCTTCTGAACAACCAATGGGTCACAGGTGAAATTAAAGAAAAAATTAGATAGTTTCTACCATTAAATGATAATGCTAATAAAACATATCAGAACTTATGGGATGCAATGAATGCAGATCTACAAGGGACATTTAAAGTGTAGAATTTCAATACTAGAGAAACAGAACAAGTGTAAATAAGTAACCCAATGTTGAACCTCAAGCTTCTAGAAAAAGAGCAAGTTAAACCCAAAGTGATATGAATAAAGAAATTATAAAGAGCAGAGCAGAAATTAATGCAATTGAAACTAACATAACGATTTAAAAAAATGAATGAATTGAAGAGTTGGTTCTCTGAAAGACTACATAAATAGACAAGCTTTTATTCAACCTCATCAAGAAAAAGATAAGACACAAATCTATGAAACTGGGAATGAAAGGGGTGAAATCACAATGGATCCTGCAGAAAACCAGAGCATCAGAACCTACTTTAAGAACATGTATTCAAATAAGATGGAAAACACAGAAGAAATGGGCAGATTCCTTGATACACATAAAATAGCAAAGCTGAATCAAGAAGGCATAAAAATTCTAAATATTAGGCAATGACATTGAAGATGTAATTACAAAACTACTCACAAAGTAAAGCCCAGGTCTTGACTGATTCACTGCTCAATTCTATAAGAAAGTTAGAGAAGATGTAATTCTACTACTCCTCAAACTTTTTAATGAAATTGAAAGGGAAGCAATACTTCCAAATTCCTGGAAGCAAGCATTATGGGGTTACCAAAAACAAGATAAGGATGTGCTGTGGACTGGCCAGGTGAGGACAAAACGTCCCCATGGCAGTGGGTACGATTTCCTTGTATGTGGAAAAGCAATGGGTCGATCTGTAGGAAAGCAATGGGCCATCTATGGAGTCAGTGGTCCTGAACAGGTCATTATGTTCCTAAGCAACGATTATAACAGTAGCAGGAACTTTGGGGTTGAATCTAGGGCAAGGGTTTGGCAGACTGCCTGACAAATCTGTACTTAAGTGCTTTGCTCAATAAACGAAGCTGCTGGTTACCTTCACCAGTCCTCCTGACCCCTTCTTTCTTTTGTTGCATTCCCTCTCCCCTCCCCAGCCAGAGCTGGACTCCGGCAAGGATCCAACCAAAAAAGAGAATTACAGCCCAACCTCCCTAATGAACATAGACACAAAGATCCTCAAAATGATACTGGCAAACAGAATGCAGCAAATCCTCAAGATTATACCCCATGAGTTAGTAGGATTCATCCCAGGGAAGCAAGGATGGTTTAACATGTGCAAATCAATAAATGTAATACACCATATTAACAAAGCCAAGGACAAAAATCACATAATCATCTCAATACATGCAGAAAAAGAACTTGACAGTCTAAAACCCATTCATGATAAAAAGAAAAAAAAACTATACAGAAAGCCAGGCATGACGGCACATGCCTGTAATCCCAGCACTCGGGAGGCTGAGGCAAGAGGATTGTTGCAAGTTCAAGGCCAGCCCATGCTACAAAGTGAGCTCAA